TTAATGTATTGATATTTCTTTTTTTTTTCAGTGATTCAGATAGATGAGAAAAATACGTTAAAAAATGTTGGTGTTAAGTTTCGACAAATGGTAAAAGTTCTTGGTGTGGACAGAGCTATTGATACCATGATAAGAACAACATGTACATAATGAGTGTGATGTAACAAAAGTTTGAAATTATTTATTATTTGATGTTTATTTATTATTTGATATATAAACATGTGTATCTACAACTGTCCTGGGCCATTTTAATTTTTAATCCGGGAAACCAAGTTGCAACGCTGCCAGGCATTTGTTAGTACCCTCATCCTGTATTTTAGTGCCCCATACACCATATTTGCTCTATTAGAAGCACATATGTTTACGTAAATGACGGGTTAATTTAAGGTCAAAGTAGGACTTGTCAATTATTTAGTATACAGTGAATGCAATTTTTGCTTTAAGTGCGCTTCTATTGGAGATGTACATCTAATAAAGCAAATATGGTAATATCATAGTACTTCATATTACAGCATCTTCATACATTATTACATCACCCACATACATTATTACATCACCCTCATACATTATCACATCGCCCTCATATATTATCACATCACCCTCATACGTTATCACATCACCCTCATACGTTATCACATCACCCTCGTACGTTATCACAGCACCCTCGTACATTATCACAGCACCCTCGTACATTATCACAGCACCCTCGTACATTATCACAACATCCTCATGCATTATCACATCACCCTCATGCATTATCACATCACCCTCATATATTATCACAGCACCCTCATACATTATCACATCACCCTCATACATTATCACATCACCCTCATACATTATCACATCACCCTCATACATTATCACAGCACCCTCGTACATTATCACATCACCCTCATACGTTATCACAGCACCCTCGTACGTTATCACAGCACCCTCGTACGTTATCACAGCACCCTCGTACGTTATCACAGCACCCTCGTACGTTATCACATCACCCTCATACATTATGACATCACCCTCATACGTTATCACAGCACCCTCGTACATTATCACATCATCCTCATACATTATGACATCACCCTCATACATTATCACAGCACCCTCGTACATTATCACATCACCCTCGTACATTATCACAGCACCCTCATACATTATCACATCACCCTCATACATTATGACATCACCCTCATACATTATCACATCACCCTCATATATCATTACAGTGTCCTATATCTGCCTAAAACTATATATTTCGGCTGACCTGGATTGTATCTACCGGTATGTCCATCAAACCATTTAACATATATGGTAGCTTAGTAACCAGAGAACTGTTGTAACTTAAAAATAAAACAATTGCCTGGTTATTTTTTTTTATTTTAATATGTGGTTTGAATTTTACAAATGCCAGATTTTCTAATCAACTCAGTAAAGGAAGTCTTACCTTATCATGATATCCTCAAAACATTGCTTGCATACCATTTTCCTCTTAATGAGATTGCTTTCTGGACATGGAATGTGAGTTTTTTAGTGAAACGAGACTGCAAAAGAATTTCAACGATTGATACTTTTTGCGTGATGTTTTTAATATTTTAAATATTCTGTAAATATTAGTAGCATATCATGGTGATTGTTTGAATTGCTGTAAAATTAAGACACTGTCATACATATGTATTTTTGTACACGCTTTTTCAACTGCCTGTAAGTTTTTGTAATGAAGTGAAAATTTATTTACTTTTCAATAATTTTGGTGCATGGCTGTCAATGTATAGATTCAGTTATTTGTTTTCTATTGGAAATCCTGATGGAACAGAAATTGTGGATATTTTCATTAGCTGTCACAGACTTATTTCATTTTTAACAGATGGCCACATCCTTGCCAGAATCCTTGAAGTAGGTTTTCATTTCAGATGTCCGAATTACAATCAATCTGATTCTTTCTATTTACATCTGACTGTAAGAATTCAATGCATGTTTCTACATATATGCATACTGACTTGTGTCACACAGGTTATCTTTGAGTGATGCTATAAATATTCAGTCTCTTCAGAATGCCAAAAGTTTGATGCACACTTTCATGTAATTTTCTAGAATTAATTTTGGACCATATTTACATATTAGTCTTGGTCAACTTTCTTTTTAAAAATATTCATATAAAAGTTTGCAGCTTTATTTAAGTTGACTTTCTATTTTTTTGAAACGAAATAAATTGTTTCATATATAATTTATATGCAAATTGGGCTCTGTACCCAAGTGTATTTCTTGGGAGAATACAGATAATATACAAAACATTTGTTAATTATTTCAAAGCTGATTTGCATATATGTTAATTGGTTTGCTATTATTTTCAAATTTATAGTTAAGTGGCCACTTCACTGTCAACTATCTCTGTCTGGCTATGTGTTTATCTTAAAAATGTGATCAATGATCATGGGGTCAACGACCTTCATTGATGCCTTGATTTATGCTGCCATATTACTCTGTCATGCCACCATGGTGGTAATATCTGAGAGTAGCTCTGTGTTTTTACAGGTGTGTTCCCTCTCACAACACATGGTGCATTTATTAAATAACTAAGTGAAATATCAGGTGTAATTAGGAAATACACAGCTGTCAAAACATCCACACCTTGTTACCTGGGAAATGACTGTTGCTTGGCGACTATAATTGACATTCAAGAAGAGTCTTTATGTCTGCCATTTATCTTATAGGATGTTGTAAATGTTTTATGTATTTTTAACTTACATACAAGAAACAGACAAGTTTTGTCGAGACTGCTTTTATCATATACTGCCAGAGTGAGTTTTGTATTATAGAACTGATTTTGTCATCTTTTGATGGAATTTGTAAATAAATATTTAAAGATTTTTTTTAAAAGCAAAATAAAAGAAAATTGTCAATTCATATTACCAATAGTTGAGCAAATAGCAATGACATTACAGTATCTTTCAGCAACGTATAGAACTATGAATATATTGCAATTTAGGTAAAATAGGTACACACGGACACAAATGCCAAGGTAGCTTATTGACTGGATATTTTTAGAAAGGAGCAGGAAAGACTTTTACAAACAGGCAACACTCTTTACTCCACTTGAGCACCACAGATGTTACTCAGACTTGTGTTCAGTATGGGCCCCATGCAGAGATTGCGTGAACACTTTTAAGGAGCTAATTCCAATGAGAAAATTCAGAAGAGTGGACAATATATTCTCTTTATCACAGATGGGATTATTTCTTTTTTCGAAATTAGTAGTACCTTCTCTAATATTTGGGGTCCGGAAAACAGAATAAGGGGTTAATGTAGTCCCTTGCCCTATTTAATTTGTACATGTGTGTAAAACGTATAGTTTATCCGAAATTCCAACAGACGTTGCGCAACCACTGTAGCGTTTTAAAGCAACGTGTTATATTTCTAGATTGAATACAAATACAATAGGAAACAAAAACTGATTAACTACGAGTATGTTAACTCGATAAATAACAATGTCCCATGATTCCATGGTGCAATCCTGATGAGCAGATATTTCAAAAATATCAATTCAAGTCGTTCAGTTATCAATCTTTAACTAGCAAATATCGTCTGATATTGTCCATTAAACCATGCATTATATCAGAGAGACTAATAATATCTGGGTCACAAGAATCTGATTTGTACCAATTATGGATGTTGTTATGGGTTTTAATTTCTGTAGATGTGCAACAATGCCCGTGTTAGCACAGAGCTGTCTGCCATCTGTGCAGACAAGACATTCATCACATCGGCATTCTTGTACAATGTTTTAAGGTTAAAAGTGATAAATGTGTTTGTTAGAAAAACTTTAGCGTTATTGAATCAGTCGTGGATCAGCTACGTTGGGTGATATCACATAATTAGTCGTTATAACATACACATTAATATCAGGATTATTGCCTAATTGTTTATTTTACTTTTCACAAGAATGTTAATTGTATACCAGTGATGGATGTGTTTCCCAAGGTTAATATGACATTGATTTATTAGTTTTTTGGGGGATTTGTCCTATAGAAGTGGTGGATGCAAACTCGTTGGTAAAGTTTTAAGTCAAATGTCATTAGGTTGATCCTGGAACCATGTTTGAGTCATGTTAGCAGATATTTACTGAGACACATGTTGTGGTGCTGTTCCAACGATGTCACATGTCGTAGTGGTGTCCCGGTGACAATCATATGCTTTAATGGTGTCGTCATATGTTGTCGTGGTGATATCACATGTTGCAGCGGTATCCCGGTGAAGCATACATTGTAGTGATGTGCTGGTGACGTCATATGTTGTAGTTGTGTCTTGCTGGCATAATATAGTGGAGTCCTGGTTATGTCTGGTGATATCATAAGTTGTCTTGGTAACGTCACATGTCGTCTTGGTGACGCCATATGTTTCAGTGCTGTTCTGATGATGTCACAAGTTGTAGTGATGTCCTGGTGACAACGTATGTTGTCCTAATGATGTCGCATGTTATAGTGTCCAGGTGACGTCACATGTGGTGGCGTCCCAGTTGTTTCACATGTAGTTATGCAGTGACGTCAAATTTTGCATTAATGACGTCTTATGATGTGGTGTCCTGGTGACGTCACGTGGTTTAGTGACGTTCCGGTCACGTCAACTGTAGTGGTGTCCTGGTGAAATCACATCACATGATGTAGTGATATCCTGGTTACGTCACATGTGGAAGTGGTGTGCTAGTGACGTCATATGTTGTAGTGATGTCCTGGTTACGTCAAATGTGGTATTCTGATGATATCATATGTTGCAGTGGTGTTTTCGTAGCGTCATATGTTTGTATCCTCATGACGTCGTGGTGTCCTGGTGAAATCACATGATATAGTGATCTTATAGTGACGTCACATTTAATGACTGATAAGCAGCGAATGATGACATTGAATAATGAAAGTGTAGTGTCCCGTTGATCACACATGTATGTCATCCTGAAACAATACCATAGCAACCACCATGTAAAATGTGCATACAATGTTTGGTTTAAATCAGCAATATTCTTGAACAATGTTCTTATTTAGATCTTGAAGTTCAAGTTAAATTTTACCGTATCTTATTATGTATGCAGGGATTCCCACTTCGGTTATGGTGTCTGTTAATGATAACTAAGTGGTAACTATGACGATGAACATATAAACAATAGGCCCAATTTAAATAATAACGAAGATCAAACTGAGTTTAGGTTTTTTTACACATTTTCCTGCCTTTTAGTTTAACATTTAACTTCTGTTGTGTTTACGCGATTTATTATCACTATTGTTTCAGCGATCTAGTTTCATTTAGCTGTGACTTAACGTTTTTTTTTTTGTTTTTTTTTTTTTTCATTTTTGTGTTTTGTACATTATATTATATTATAAAGTACCTCTTTGTAGGTACGCAACGTCGATATTAAATTTTATACAGACAAAAAGAGTTGTCTCTTTATCAAACCTATTTCATACACTTGAAGTTCATGTATCCACATGGTGCACGTACTTTGTAATCGAACTGTCACTAGTTATACTTTCAATTATTATGTATTTAATTTATATAATTGAAATTATTATTACTAAGCCAATGCCAAACTAAAATACGAAGCTCCACGATGGCAGTTTTAAAAGAGTGTTAGTAACATGTGTTCCGAATTTTTCGGATTACACAGTGACCAATAAATTAGATTCAGTGCAAAAGTGTATGGCAACATTTACATCGCGTGCCGTCAATAGAAGGTAACATACAGTATATGTTTCTGTGTAGGATTTACATATTGCATTATTATACTACTGATTTTGTACACTTGCTTTCATAAAGTTCTGCAACTAATACTATTTCCGTTTTTGTTTGTTTGTTTGTTGAATAATATACATGTAGTGTTATTTTATAGTTAATTCTAAGGGAAATGTGTTGGATCATTGATATAAATCCGCTGGTTTCTGTCACTCTATTTAGCAGTGACTTATACAATCACATATCTTTTTAATAAATAAGTACTACTACTACTATACGTCAATGATTTACGAATAAATATATACAAATAATTGAAAACTTACACTATATTCTCCAATTTTGAAGATCAAATACAAGAGAGAATTTTCGATGATTTGAATTCTACCGCCGAGGTAGTCACGTATCAACATTTAGTCGCCCGATCCAGTATCCAACTGTACGTCCAGAAATAACTGTATAAGGTCAACAGTTGTACAAGTCTGTTACTTACGTCTCGTTATCACCACCCCATATGGCTTCTATTAATAAACATACCAGTAGTCTTCCCGTGTCACGTGCCCCCCGTGGAGCCACCAACAGGGCGTGACGTAATATTATGCTTGCTATTGTATCACTTTCTTTGAAGTTGCATTGAGTGATTACAAATATGAAAATTATGTTTGATTCGGTGATTAGATAACAGCTTTAGTTATTATTATTATTATTATTATTATTATTATTATTATTATAAAAACAAATAACGCACCGGTTTTAGTCTTGTCCGCTGCTACGTCCGATACGTCTGTATGTATCAAACACGTGATTTGTTTACAAAGTATTACGCAACCATTAAGGTAGCGAGAAGGGTTTGATGACGTTTTTGAATAAAGCATTCTCTGTCTGTTGTTTCATTCAGAACCGTAATTTAGCGTATTTGATTCAATAGCCTAAGTATAGAGGGACAAGTTTGCACAAACTGGACAGTCATTGTTTACCACGTGACATCAAAAATGGCGAACCTTGGAAAAATGACTGCACACTGCGGAATTTCCGGCTGAAATTTACGTCATGCATTGTCCGTAATCAAGTCCATTGATATATGTCCCCGGTAATCAAAAAAAATATTTTTCCGATTTCTACGTAGGTTTGTTTTTTGTCCCCTAATTGGTTATATCACAGTCTGTGGTTATATGTTGCATTTAGTCACCACATAGCCATGTGTGTTCCTGAATAATCAACAGCAAACATCGCATTGTTATACAAAACAAAGAAAAGGATGCACGGTCCGGCAAAGATTTTATAACTTGAATTCAAACAAAGTGACAGAAAAACAGAAATCACACACTGAAATTTTAAGCACAGTGTTTTTATTGTGCTAGGCCATGGAAATAATATTCTTGTTAAGAACGATTAATTATTCATATTGTAACAAAATGCCTAAACTTGATATTATTGCTATAATTAGACATCATTCTTGAGCATTATATGGGAGAACATAGAGTTTATCAACAATTTGGAAGATTAGGTTTGCAAACGGAGAGGATTTAGAGCATAGGAGAAAAAATAAAGAGCGACATTTTCAAAAAAAAAAAAAAAAAGTAATAAAATGTCTCGAGAGCAACAAAATACAAAAAAGGGAAATATGTATTTGTGTTTTTTAAACTGGTACGTGGGTGGTGGAAAATATTCTCACGTGAAACTACCTCGCCCACACTTCTGCGGGTTCATGACGTATAAGCTACTTCCACATTCTACCCATACGCTAGAACTCACAGGAAATGTAAATCACGTTTTTGTGGGGAAAATAATTTAAATAAATTTAACAATTTAAAGATGTAAATTTCGAATTTCCAGTCACAAACTATTAATAGAAATTGGAACATATCTCCAGATCTAAATTTACATGCAGTAACATTCAGGACGTGTTTCATTATATGATGGAATGTGACAGTTGCGTTGAGCAATGCGAGCATTCAGTTTATTCAAACATGTGGAGAGCAGATTATTTTTTTCTGTATTTTTCGAATGAACAACTATTTGTAGAAGCAATAAAACCTCGTTCGATGGAAGCTACAAAGTTCGTGCAGCCACGTGTATGTATTCGTGATCCATTTATAACCAGTGTACTGGACATAATTTTATCAAATATGAATATAAAATCTTTTTAATTATGCAAGTAATTTGCATAATGGCTATGTTTTTGTTGTAACCGTTACAGCAATAGTTATTTTTCACGATACACAACATAATTCAATTGCTTATTTGTAACACATGAGGTTATCTGGACCATAATCACATTTACCTACATGCCTGGACTCGCCCTGTCTCGAATGATATTTTGAAAAGTCTACGTTGTCTAAGGGTGGAGTGGTAAGGTAAAACATTGTTCACGTCCCAATATGAGAATAGTTCATATGATAATTAGCATAACCGCGAAACTATTTCATTTATGTCCCCTGATTCGAAAGACAGCTATTACGAGGAGTAAACTAAGCACGCCGTCGCTGTGATGACGTACATTGTCTTGATACCATTTTAGTACATGGCGCATATTTCCACGTAAAGACACTTGCCGCGTTTTCGCAGCTATTTACAAAGCGAAATGTCACAGTGTTAAAAGTTGACGTTGTTTGCACCATTTTTGTGGTGTATTCACCCGGAAGCCGGCTTTTCAGATTTGCGTCTCAGTCACACAAAGCGTTCGGGTGACGACAAGGCATCCTTTGTGATTCATTCCTATGCACCGGTGTGTCCCACCTTAAACAGTTTTTCGCTTAAACCTAATTTACCGTTTCGCGGGGCGCAAAGAAGAAGTATACAGACAATTCCAACGGGACGGTTGGTGATTTGACTGTACGTGTTTTCAAACTCCGTTTACGTAAGGAAAAAAAGTTCGCGGCGTCGCTCTGTTCCTTGCTGTGATTGGCGGTTTTCGAGTTGTCCGTCAGAGTGAAATGTACTAGCGCGTTGAAGCTGATTCCTACTGGATTACTCACGGTGTTGTGTATCAGGAACTAGTGAAATTGACACGCCAGTTGCATTTACATACTCCGAAATAGACAGCCAACGAATGAAATTCGCAGCACGTCCACTGACTAACTCGGGCCCTTCACAACTATGCCAACAATTTAAACGCGTCGTAAACACACACCAAAAGTTGGCTTTGAATTTCACTAAAGCGCTGTATCTGCTCTTCTGTTCTTATTTATTGACCACTACTTTGGGATTTCTTTTCGCTGAATTCATCACCTATCGCTGAAAAATGCAGACGACTCGTTTGCTGAGGGAACGAAACAACACGTACCGGGTGAAGACCAGTATTCGGAAGGACATGGGGACACAGCTTTACCAAACGACTACGAAAGCGACTCCGAACTATCTGAAGATTACAATAAAATGAAATTCCATTCAACCAAAATTGACTTGTCGCTGAAAATTCTGAGAGAGGAGCTGGTAAGTATTTTGCATTTATATCTGTATTAACTTGTCTGTGGTGATAATGAGACCATTCAGTAATAATGGATGACTTGTCTGAATACGTAAAGTAATAAACAGCTGATTGTGAGCGGAGGCCATGACAGGCGATTCCTTATCTATCTATGTATGTGGGTATGTAACCACAGTCGAAATGCATGGGAGCGGAAAAATCAAGTTAGTGTCTAAATCTGAGCTTACTCAGTTTTTCATATAATCGTTAAAACGTCTATTGGCGTCTTTATTTATATATATCAGTTCCTAACAAGTGGGCAAATTGGTCGTAAACATGAAATTGTTTAGAGAAGGGTAAAGTAGTCCAGGAAGGTTTAGAAGTATAATGTTCTGCCAATACAGATATAAACATGTACTTAACAGCCAATATTGGTTAACTTGATCTTCTGAATAACCGGGGAAGGAAGCCGATCCTTTTCCCCTACTACCGGGATAGGTTTAATATATCTTCGTTGCTGTCAAAACTCTTAGGTGCTACAACAATCTATTGTGTACTGAAGTTATATTGAAGAATTACATCTCAACTCGTCTATGCCTACATCTTTGTTTTAATGTTTTAATGGTTCAATATTTTCGGCATAAACACATTATTTAGACGGACAGACAGACACTGTCTGGGTCAACGACTTATTTCCTCCCTGTAACATGTAGATGGAAGGTCACATTGGTCTCAATTATACAGTCCCATTAGATGTTATAATACCGAGAATTAAATGAAATGCATACTACGATTGGACCACGGGACACGGTGCGTTCAGCTCGCGGTCATGCAATCCCCTCCAAATATCGTTACACGATGCCAGTTTCACGGTTCGTAGATTTGCAACAAGAATATCCCCCAACACATGCTCCGGTGAACAATTAACTAGTGTGCAAATTATAACTCGTACCAGACAGACATCAAGAAAGACTTGAATTCTATCCTGTCGACATAATACGGTCTAGTGACGGTCCATGTTTTCAATTGTACTGTTACAACATTGTTCCCATGGTAAAGAGTAGTTTCTCTATTTACCCCCCCCCCCTTAGATGACATCATTGCGTCCTTAGAGTGTAACGTTGCCAAGTAAAGGCGTACTTCCTGAGACGATGTGGCATTGAGGTGAAGAATGTCCCACACTCAGTTCTTATTTCCTTTAAGTATGATTGATCAAGGCTCACTTAAAAAAACTATATAACCCGAGTCCCCAGTACCGTAAATATAGCCGGGTAACGTTTGAAAGTTTTCGGTGACAACCTTCCGTAACAATCGAGCCTTAGCATACTTCTTATACTCTCATATGATACAGCGTGTATATTTCCATCTCCTAGAAGTTTACACCGATTCCACAGAAAAGGCTTATTCTGAAGTACTACTCTTCAGTCGCCACGAGTCTCCTTATATTTGCCATTAACTTTTATCGGTTCCGTCTGACCGTGACTATCAGCAAAACTCTCTTAGCATTCTCACATTGTGTTTTATTTATTTACTAATTATAGCCGCAGAATCACGTGGTGACCTCATCAGTGTCTCAGATATGGGGATAGTATGAATACTCCGACCGCCAATTTTCCCATCACTACATATATATACATATATATATATGTTTTATAATTAACACGTGATTATCGTTTTATTCTTCCGCTATAAGTCAATGTCTAAATTCAAATACGATAACATTACAGTTTGACGTGACGTGTGGCGTCACGTCACGTCACGTCACGTCACGTCTAGTGATACGAGGTGATGTAACGTGGCGTAACGTAATTAGCGTCACCAGCGCATGCGTCAGATGGCCATAGCGTGTAATTGTTTACAAACAAGCGTCTACCCATGAGTCTTTGCGTTTTTAGCGTGTGTTATTATCGTCGTTTGAGACTCAATTCCCGCGCGTGCACAGGTGACGACCCTCCCGCTTTAACATAAAACTACTAGATTGGTCAATAGGAATTCATTAGAGGAAAGTGCAAGGCCACTTGTACCAAACTGTTGAATAATCATCGAAAACATCAACACATCCCCAGTCCTATAATGACGTGTAAATCCGCCAGATCCTGTTTAGATCGTGACCAGTAAAAGTGTCGTGTAGTGTAATGTTTTTATGTTGGCCTTGGTAACGCTGTAACTTATTATCATTCAATATCGTTCTATTTCTGGTCAACATGGGATGGTACGTCTAAATATAGCAACATTGAATGGTTATATAACCACCAAAGTAATTTAAAAGAAAATTACTACACGTAAATGAAGAGTCGTTGACGCAGGACCAATCAATTTGTTCTCGTTATTGTTGTATCATTAAAGGCGATTCAGCTTTTGTAATAATTATGATTTTGCAATTCGCAAGTTCAAAAAATGCGAAAGTTAGGGGGTACATTTTATTTTAAAATCTGTCTGGGTTATTTCAATGTATTAGACCAACGAATAAAGCCATCTGTGACACGTCACGTACCCATCGCGGTTTACATTTGATATAGTTTATAAAATTCGCCTGTCCGCTTTTCGATGGTTGTTCATTAACATTTATAGACGCTTGACATTTTGAAATGAATTCTACCGGCTTGAAATTCTTGCCCACTTTTGTAGCGCTTGGATTCAAGCAAAGTATTTCAAGATGTTTCACCTTACGTTGTCTCTATTGACTGGTCGAAATAATATAATGGTAATAAATTATTTTAATGAAACTGATTTCACGCATGCACGCCTCTGTACATTGTGGCCAGGAGGGGGCATTAAACATAGCGAATACATCACGCTATGTATTGGCACGGTTGCATACACCTGTTGTTGTGTAGACATAGTTATTTTGTTGACATTTTTTGAATACATTGTCATGCTGGTAAAATCATTTACAAAACAAAATAGCACTTTGAACCTATGTATACTCTGTGTTCTAGTGTATGATAAACCAAGTGAAGGCTTCCCCGACTTTCGTAGCCAGTGTTTTCCCTTTGAGCACCCCGAACAATTACATGTTTTGTGTTTGGCGAATAATTGGCACAAATTCCTGCCATTCTTGACCCGCATATAACAAAGAATCGCCCCTGTGTAAATATGATAATCCTCTACACAGAGCCTTGTAACTGTCCATATCGTGTTCTTGAGATAATGACCTCAGTCGTCTCACTATCTCACTCCGTAATCAACAGAACACATATACGACAGCAAAAACAAGGGGTCAGAGGTCAAAAGATGAAGAATATGTATCCACTGTGTCAAATAAAAAAACCGGAAGTACATTTATTTTACAGTCACTGTTTGTAGTTATTTAGAAAGATATTCGGCAAGGGGGTGTATCCTGGGTATAGATTTGTTAATAAATGACACAATACGCAAGGTATTTTGGGTTATTGTCTCTGGCAGTGACCCCGATTTTCTTATTTGTGGAATGTCCGTTCTATTTATTAGTGTGTATGAACACGCGTTACCTGGGATCTAGACCAGAATTCCTTTTAACTATAACTATAGCAACATAACCGGCGGAAATCACATCGGGCAGAGTTAAAAGCTAATGAAGAATCCGAAATACGCTTTATAGGTGTGACATAGTGGATACCCGGGCATGGAAACAATAGTACGTGCATTCCATTGCAGAGTACCGCCAGTCAAACAGTGAAAGCGATTACGAATCGGTGAAATCACTCTACGGTGAGTCGTTAAGCCCGCTTAACCCCGCCTGTCAGGAGGTCACGTCATAATACCAGGGGCGGGTATGTGTACTGGTTTAAATTTGATACCTGCGTACTAGGTATATAAGGTGTGCATACTGAGGCTCGGAATCTATTACTAGTCTGAGATACAGGCGACCTCGGTCTGCCGTTGCTGCCTATGTGATAATTTAGTCAGCTCGGAGGAACCACGTCAACTTGAAATAGGTACGCATGCTTAGTTCAATGTTACTCTGCCATCCGACATCATTTGGTTGTTTCTGTGTTTGATGCGACATATGAACATTCTATTTTGTGTTGTTTAGTGCTGTATTGCGATGCTGCATGGTGGGTTGCTTGAGGGGGAAAAATGTTCCTTGTTCGAGAATCTTTGTTTTTCTGGTAAATGTCAAAGCATTTTGCAATTTCTTAAAACCATTCTGGTCCATTGGCGATTAGCTACTTCTCAGGCCATTACTAGCCTGAAGCACAGTCCTTTGTTGGGGGACTGCGCCTGAAGTTACATTCTACAGGTTGATGCACTATCAAATGATTTTTACCTAGCGGGAGACTTGATCACAGACTTGCCGCTGCGAACTGTGAAATGTCTACTGTCAACATTTATATGTCCTGGCTTTACCCATAATTTATATGCAAGTCCTGGCTTTACCGAGTCCCTGGTTAAATCTAGTATATGTATTAAAACGCCCCGATTTGGATCAGATTTGCGTAATAGCTGGTAACAAATTTGTTGATTAAGTGTTTTGTTTTTAATAGAAAACATGTGTTAGGATTATAACATTCAATGTGGCTGCAATATGGGAGGGTAAACACCCTAGGTTCCTCAACTGAACCAGTGAAACGGCGTCCTAAATATATCGGTGTTAGGTCTTGACCAAATCTAACTAACTGATTTCATATGTGAATTTGAAATAATTATAATTGGTGTTATGGCTTTAGTTTGTTTACTATCTGATATTCCATCGAATAAACTAGTCTTGATCATTGCCACGTGCACTCTTCCTATATAATAACTAGTTTCACGTTTACAACAGCGTTTTTTTTTTTACCGTCACGGTCGAATCATGCACTTGACTGGCCTTTACGTCACGATGTAATATCATGTTACTACGCCTTTTCCAATCGCATCGCTTCAACGGTTGCTTATACTTTTATTTTCACCGTCGCTTCAAATTTGTCCTTAAAACACACACCTTATATCTGTGTGTCGACTCGAGCACAAACACGCCTACATCGATTCTGTGGGAAATGTACGCCCTTCCTTATAAGTACTGACATGGTATATTGCTGGGGCAATTTGATAGTATATTACATAT